AAAAAAGCCCTCTCAAATCCCTTAAACTACAACCTAGGAGGCGGTTGAAAAGAACCAAAGCCCTACAACAAATCAAATAATCTGTCACAAAGTTTCACTAATTAAATAAGATTATCACTTGTATTTGCTTCAAACTAATGGAGAAGGGGGATAAAAAGTTTTCTTACCCAATTCATAGAGATGACCACCTACATTAACTAATGCAATAAAGTGAAGATCTACTTTCTCATCTATACTTGGTGCCTGCAAAACAAAAAAAAAAAAACATGTTGTGTTCACTAAAACTCTTAGCACAAAAAAGTTAACTAGAATATATCATCACAATACACAAAACACCGGGTCACTAGAAGGATGGAAGTTGCAAGTGAGAAGCACATTCTGGCTCTATGCAGAATGGCAGAAGTCACACCACAGAACGTTTTGAAATATAAACAAATTTCCTGCAAATGCATACATCAATCAGAATAACTTCAGGAAGGTATCTGAAAGTGTTCCCAACAGTAAGTTTACATGAGAGCTTCATTTTTCACTACCAGATTACAAGTAGTATCAACTCGAATACATCAGCATTAAAAATAGATACTCATATAAATAGCACCTCCTTCACTAACTCATCTACTGTAACAAAACAAAGCGATGCAGGACTGCAGTCTGAACCTATAGTATTTTAAAACTGAAAATATTTGCTTAGTCAAATTAATTTTGCTTGTAAGTAACTTATAATACAGTTAACACGTTCTCCCCTAACAGGCAGTAGAGAAACAGATGTTCCCAGGGCATAATTCATCCATCCCAAGACATGTACTAGGCAGACAGAAAGGAAAATAATCAGAGATGCATATAGCTCTATTTGTCTCAGAGACTTCTTGGAGAGAAGAATTTCTCAGAGATTTCATGGTGATATCATACGCATCACCACTGCATATCAAAAAAGCACTGCAGTGCAGGGACAGCACAATTAAATGACGTGACCTAAAAACGGCCACAGTTGGTAAAAATCCGGTCCTGTACTGCACTGCCAACTGCAGCAAGCCACACCTTTCTCAAGGGGAGACAACAGTGCATGGTCCACCCGCCATTTTATTTCCCCAACATCCACTAAGCAGGGGATTTGGAACTCCCGAGCCAAACGCTGCTTCACTACCATTGGCTTCAATAGCCCAATGGTGGTTTTATTTCCTCATGAATCTGTCTAATCTCCATATGAGTCCATTGATGGCCCATGATCTACAACACAGTTAGACAATACATGAGGAGATGGGAAAAAGCACCTCAGTTTCTCCTGAATAAACTATTAGGCAGCCGGCTTACATGCAAATACATTTGATGCACTCTCTTCCTCTGTGTTTAACTGGAAATCTCCAATTTTAGCCTTCCTGGAACTGCTTAAAGCACCTCAGAATCTAAAAGTTCACCGGGAACAGAGTACAGCATAAGGTGGGTTTTGGAACCTTGCAATTACATCATGCTCTCAAGACTGGGTTAAAACTTTCCTTCTTCATGGTCACGAAGAAAGACTTCAAAAGGAGATCAAAGTTGAAGAAATGCAGCGAAGAGCCAAAACAAAAGTGGGAATGACAGAATCACAGAACGGTTGAGGTTGGAAGGGACCTCTGGAGATCATCTAGTCCAATCCTCCTGCTCAAGCAGGATCATCTAGAGCACGTTGCCCAGGATCGCGTCCAGGTAGGTTTTGAATATCTCCAGTGAAGGACAAGAAGTTAGCGTAAGTACTTCAACAGATGAAGAATGCTGAAGAGCACAGCACGCAAGAAAGATTAAAGCACACAAAAAAGCCCCCCAAAACCACCCACACAACCTCCCCCCACCCTCACTTGAGATCAGTCTCCATGACCAGATAAAAACGCGAAAGACTTAAATATTCTATTCATCTCTGTTTCAAAGGGCGTAGAAGGGAGAACAAAGAAAATTTTTGCCACTTACAATGAAGAAGCTATCAAAGGAAAATGCGCTCCTTTTTGCTTTACCAAATAAGAAATAAGCTAAATAAAGTAAGGATTTGGAAAAACAAAATAGGTATCCTCTACAGTTTGGCTATACTGGTACAAAACCAAAACTTTCAAAAAAAATAAAATAAAAACAAACCTCACTGGTTTCAGTAACTTCCTGAAAAGGACATAAGACAGTGGCCGACAGCCAACAGGCGTAACAGAAAGGTGCCATCAATCAACCAACTGTTTAGATACACCAAACCATGGTGTTACAAAAGCTCAAAGACAGGCAAAACAGAGTCCTTGCTAATCCCACGTTGCCAGCTAATCCCAGTACAGACAATGACTTCAAGCTGTCCACATATCAAGGGGTGTTGAACTATATTGTGCAAAAGCTACCACTGGGAAGTCTGGGTTTAAGAAACTTCAGAGTGAGTAGAAAGATTGCTACCAGTTGCTCCCAATTTAACAAATGGCTTAACATCTAAAAGCTTACTTCTGACTACCTGGGCACAAACTGATTTAACTGGAGAACTCAAAGTATCTAAGACTCCCAACACCTATTTTCGCTCAGATTTAGACCAGAACAGAGTTGTTCCCTTGACCATTTTGAGACCTCTGTTCTTTGCTGACTTTTAACAAGGACCTTTTCTAGGGATAGGTACTTGGCACACTTACAGTGCTGAATCTATGTATAGCTGAAAGATGGACAGGGGAGCCATCAAGAAAAACATGATTAACTTTTCATAGAATTAACTTAAAGCTAGTGCTATTACTATAGTATATAGCCATGGTCGTTTTTGAACTTGCCGAATTCAAATAATGTGCTTCCATTGAGTGTTATTGCCACAGCCTGTAAGAAACATTGTTTTTATATTTTAAATTCCCACTTGTTCTAGAAAGAAATGGAGCCACCTCATAGACAGAAAGCAAGCGTCAGATCATTTTTAAACTTTATCATATGCTCTATTTCCTTCATTTGTGATTTCATCTAATGAAATCATTTCATTTCATCATTTTCATATAAGGTGGATACTAGTAAATATTACAATACTACAAAGTAGATACATCCCATTTCTTGGAAATAAGGATTGTGATTGTTTTCAACTGACAATTAATTATTTGCTTAAGTACAGAGAGACAATAGGCTCTGAATTGACAAGCTGACCTAACATTTTGTATTACAAAAATACATTGCTTATGATTTATGCAAAACAACCATCTTGATTAAACTTTTCCCGTATGATGAACCTGATTCAGAATTCCCACGACCCCTCCCTGGGGGAAGAAAGCAGCTTTCTGTGGCACCTCCACACCCAAAACAAGCAAATAAACAAACAAACTTGTCAGGCCAACTTCTATTTCATTGAGAAGCTCTAGCAATTCTAGCACTAGAACAAGACAACTTTAAATTTCAAAGGGAGGGAAAGAAAAGGGAACATCAGCTTCAGGGAGATGTCTTTTGCGGTTTCCATGAAAAGCTACACCTTTGGCAAGGTTTTCTACTTTTAATAAATAGTCTGCATAAATGCTTAAAAGAATAAGAGAACATAGCTTGAAGAAGTCTATCTGCGTGTTCACCCCTAAGTAGTATTTTCACAGCAACTACAGATGAGTCTCTGGATCACTCCTCTTGTCAAAGACCATTATAACATCAATATTAGCCATGCACTGGGATCTCCTATTCCTCTGATTTTTCACTTAGTGTCACACTTAACGTGCAGAAGGAAAAAGCAGATTTGAACGATCACGTGGAAGAACCAACAGGAAGGTGTAAGGCATATAAGTCTGAACAAGATCATTCTCTGACCAGGATTCGGAACTAATCTTTGGGATTCACTATATTTGTCAAGACTTCTCAACAGCTTTGGCACTCAGTGAAAGAAAACTCATACCTCTTTTTCATCCAAAAAGACAGAAAGACAAATATCTCAAATAGCTTACATAAGCTTGAGTTATTGTTTTAGTCTTAGCATAACTCATATTGCAGGAACTTACTCTGTAATGGACACGACTTTTCCAATTTAATCTGTTTAAGAGAAAACAAACAAAAAAACCCCACACATTCGGAACCAGCATCCAGTAGTCTTGAAACTGACTTTCAAAGTGACAAGTGGTGGTGCTAAGAATATTTTCTTAATCATCGTTTGTCCTCAAGCTATGAAATAGCCCTCAATAATAATGCAGTACATCTTCATGGATTACCAGTCTCACATACTTTACACGTTTTAGCACACAGACGGAACGGATATCTTTCCAGCCTTTTGGTCCTTTTTCATTATTTAATATCGAATAGCTGTTTCTCCTTCTGCCTTGCACCATCATTCATTCCCTTAGTAACAAAAAAAGCTTCTCTTACTAATGGCATTCCAAGGGTCACACAAATGAGAACCAGAGTTGCTGTGCCATCTGATTTTGGATACCAAATTAAAGGCACCTATGTGAGCGAGTCCTGATTTTTCAGAGGATGTGACTGCATTTCTCTGCTGACTTGGATATTCAGACTTAATAATAAACTATTGCTGACTGTCGTGAAAAGTCGATTTCAATTGACTTCTCTCACAGATCCATTAATTCATGTTATTGGCATCTCCTGTTGTTCCGAGAAATTCCTCGTTTTCACCTTTCACCGTTGCCCTGTGTGCCGCCCTCACTCATGAACTGCTACATTTTTCATTCTTGCTTTGCATTAACCTTCAGAAACCCAATGTTACAACCTTGTGCCCAAAAGCTTGTCCACTCTTAGGCTAATTATATCAGCTGGTCTAACGAAGTACACTTCATCTCCTATACAGTTCATCTTCCTAAATACATTTAGACCATTATCATCTGAAAGTTAATATTCTATTTTCATACATTTGAAAAATGTAGATCTTCAAATGTTGCTAATTTAGGACAAAACTGCTCAAACTTGATTTAGAGTTGGTTTCTTTACCCCCAAAATGCATTTTGGGGGCAAACACACAATTGGGAAAAACATTTCTGTCTTGCTTCCATGGATATACTGGGCAAGGGCTCACCTCACACAGCTTAGAACTTCGTTGAAGGATCACAATACAAAAGCAGGTTCAATATTAGAAGAAGCTTTCTGAAATCTGTCATGTAACTAAATCTTATCTACTGATCATTCTCTCAAGAGCAAGTATAAACAAATAAAGTGAGGCAATAAACCTCAAACTAGTTTAGAAGAGTATTTTGCATTACAGGTAGTCAGGTAGTGACCGAAACAAAACTTGCCTAAGTCAAGACTGTCTTGTCAAGAGTCTCAGATTCTGGAAGAAAATAGGTAAA